GGGCTTATAATTTCTCAGAGTTTGTCTTCAGTTTAGTTATATTGCGTTATGTTACGAAACTGAGAAATTGTAAAGCTGAGTTTACGAAGTTACTCTAATTTGAAAAATTAATTATTATCTATTAAAATTTTATAACATTAATTTAGGGGAACAGAAGTGTCATCGTGGTGCAATGAAAATGACGAGCTTGATTCCCGAACGTAACAATATATTTCTATTGAACTAAAAAAAAAATATGATTGACTTATTATTTTACTATTTGCGTGGTGGGTATTTGTGCCAAGTATTTATGATATTTTTATTTAATTATAATTCTATATTTATTTCTATTTTTATTTAATTATAATCAATAATATTATTATTTTATTAAGTTGATTCTTCATTTACAGTAGCACTAGCAGGTACAGTTCAAGAGTAGCACTCACTGCACTACGTCACACGAACTTAACTAAACAACTAAAAAGGCTTAGGGTTCTTTAGTCTTAATGATATATTCGTATCGTTGGAATATTCACTTATTCCCATCGGGTAGGATGAGCGTGATTTAGATTTCTGAGATATTATGTTTTTATTTAGATTAATTATGCATGTTCTGTTCAGTATGTACCCTGCTTTACAATATCAGTTTCGTCACATTGATTCTCCATTTCGTTACTTATCAGTTTATTAACAAATGGCAAATGTACATTTTTTCTGAGTATGACCCATAAAGGAGAATTCGCGGCGAGAACTGAACTCAATTCCGGAAACAGCGTTTAAAAAAGGTTTTGATGATTGGATTATTCGTTGGCGTAAGGAAGGCGTTCGTTTCTGAAGGAGAATACTTTGAAGGTGATAAAATAAATTTGGATGAATAAGAAACATTTTTATTATTGATCTTTCCCCTGTACTTTCTTGATAGAGTAGTATATGTAGTATATAGTTCTTTTTTATGTTTGAGGGGGTAGACGAGTTTTTCTAATTGAGTGGAACGAATGGATCAAGCCTTATCCTTACGTGAAAAAATGGTTGGCCGAATACCATTATATTTATGTGTTGTAGTAGGTTAAAATTTGTCAGCAAGCTTTCTTTAAAATCAATAAAGCAAAAATTTCATAGGTACCATTCACTAACATTTACCTGAAAATTGGTTTACATATTTTTTATGAAAATCGTGGTCTGTAGAAAGACCAGTGATTTCTTAAAGAGTAATGGACGGTAAGTCGATGCCGATGCTCATAGGCTATTGAAAATCGCATATAGTATTTTACTATAACTAAGTACATACTAATAAACTAAGAACATTACAATGCTCAGCACGACCAACTCGTTTTCATTCAGATGACGGTAAAGGAAATTGTTTACAAATTAGGTTTTGGAATAATTACCGTTATTTTGAGTAGGAGTTACCATTCGTAATTTTTTTATATTTTCTGGCAAGGATATTAAGTTCGTTCATCAGTGCACTCTTCCAGATATAAGTGATGGTAGTAATTAGTGAGATAATGGGAGGTTTTGGATTGTATCACGCGTGGTTATGTTTATTAGTGTTCTCTAGCAGATTTGGAGTTGCATTCCATCAAATGGCTATAATATTTCTGGCTCCTCCAACTCAATTTCATTGCCCAGGTATAGACACGAAATGTTGTAGTAATCCAGAATATGATACATCTATTTTTAAAAAGACTATAATTACTGAATGGGATTTAATATGTGGAAAGTCGTGGCTGAAAGATTTAACTCAAACTGCTTTCCAATTTGGAGTTCTCACTGGAAGCTTGTTCTTTGGGATTGCATCGGATAAGTAAGCATCATCGACCGCATTTTAGGAAGTACATATATTCGTGAAAGTGTTGTAAGTATTTTTTTTATTTTTGAATTATTGTCTGAGTTTTCAATTTCAGATATGGGAGGAGACCGATGTTATTAATAGCAGTGGTAATAGAAATTTTTACTGGTGTGTTTGCTTCATTTCTACCAGACTATTGGAGTTTCACCATTGTCAGAACCATACTCGGTGTAGCAGTCGGAGGTGTCATGGTCATTACATTTGTGATTATTATGGAATACGTTGGGAGCGATAAAAGAGACATCGTGTCAGCTTTGTTTCATATGCCATTTACTGTCGGCCATGCTCTTTTAGCAGTATTCGGCTACTACATTAGAGATTACGTGTACTTTCAGCTTAGCATATCACTCACAAATGTTGTTTTGTTGATTTATATTTACGCTCTACCAGAAACGCCAAGATGGTTATTGGTAATGAACAAGACAAACGAAGCTGTCAATTTATTGGAACGAGTTGCAAAAGTGTTAGTACCTAGACCAAAATTTTCATAATAAGGACATTCTTATGTATGTCTATAGTTAAATTAATCTATAGTAATAATAAAATTTTTACACATCTCTCAACCGGCGTTGTGATCCCAAACTAGGCAGAGCCTGTGAGTTCACTAAGGCGCCAGATATATCTAAGAAAATAGCCAACACGTATTGAAATTTTGTCTCAGTGTTAGGCTTCTTGATACTATACGAATACTTCCGCATAGCCAAACACAAGAAAAGATTCCTTCTGAAATGCTATTTTTAAAATCGGTCATAATTGTCGCACCAAAAAATTTACAAGCTTCTTTTACCATCTTGTTTGAAATTTTGTCATCCCCCGAAGCCTTGTTTTGTTTTGTTCGATGACACTGATCTGTCGGTGATGATCGGCATTATTTTCCGATCGATCGTCGGGAACAAGGGGGTCTAAAAGATATACTGCTGTTTGTTCTATTCCTAAGGGATCAGTGTTATGGATTTTGATGTACATACAGTATGCAAGGTCGACTCATCTATTGGCTTTAAATCAGGTTACAAAGGTGATTACGGCCCCTCTCTACCAAAGTTATCAACAATGTTGCGAATCCTCCCTTACATTTTTCTACAGCCCATCTGTAGCGAAATCTGTACAAATTACGGAATTGTTCGCAAGTTGGGTAAAAGATTCAGAGGCCTGGCCTATATACTGATGTCGATTAAATGTAGTCAAAACATTTTGGTGCAAATTGGAAATCAAAATTAGGGAATGATAAGATTCTATTCTAAATTTTTTTAATGGAAAATTTAAATGTTAGAAAACCCTGACATACCCGGCCTTTATGATCCGAAAACCGAGAAGAAGTTAGAATAGCTGTGTAATTTTGATAAGATACTTCTACAGATATGTCATACAAGTTGAAATATTTAATTATTATTATCAATTTGAAAATATCATCATCACATCAACAGCCTTCAATAGGCCTCTCCTTAGAGAGGAGGTTTTGGGTCAGGTCAGGGTTTGAGTCAAGTTTTCCTTCTCTTTGCAGGGATGTTGTCCTGCGTAGTTTGCACCCTTAGTCGGGCCTTACGACACCCACGGGATGAATGGGGGGAGGAATGGGATAGTGACACTCCGTATTCTTAATCCATCACCAAACTGATAATTTAAAAATATACTTAAATTTATTTTGAATGAACCCCATATAAGTAAAGTAACGGACTTATTTAACTATTTTTAATCAAATCTAACATACTACAGTTTGGTACTATACATTACGGTACGTAGTGTTTCAAATATCGTGCTTATCATATCAAACATATCTTACACTAAAAATGGTATGTTTATGTGCGCTTACATTGCAAACGCCGGGTCAAACCTTACGAGATAGATTAAAAAAAAATTACTACGGAATTCTATATCTTGAAAAAATCCACAAAAAGTATGTGCCTATCTCTTAACGATAACCCACAGTAACCATTTTTTCTTTTAAATATTACAAAAAAATAATGGGTTATTTCCGAAGCTATTTTAAACAATACATTATTATTCCTTATCCAATTAAATACTTGAGATACGTTGTGCATTTAATGTAGATTAAAATTGCTCCTTACAACATATCATTAAAATGAATATTTTAGAAGAAATTAGAGGTATAAAATGCGGGGCCCTACGATTGTCGAGTCGTACGAAGGTCCCGGGTGGCAGCGGCCGGCGCCTATAAATATTGCATTTAAATATATTCTGTAGTATAGTCCTATCAAAATAATAAAAATTCCAAATAATAATAATTAATTACATTGCATCCATGCAAAGCCGGTGCGGATCGCTAGTGTTTTAAAAAGTAACTGAAGGCCCTTAAGCTAGTAGGTGTAGGTACCTACTAGCTTAAGGGCCTTCAGTTACTGATACTGTGGTGTTACTTGAACCGGCTAATAGGATATAACGCAAAATTAAAAAAGAAGAGAGAAGCGCTTTTAATTCTTTTTTTTTCAAGGTTTTTGTTTTACTAATAGCCCAAATAATGTGTAGAAGTAAATATTTTGTTAAAACATGAAAGCCAAAAGATATGTTTTCTCCAAATTACGTAAATGATTTTTTTAAGGGTGAATAATAATATTTTTTTTTCTAAATAAACGGTTTTTTTCCCTAAAACTACTACACGAGAGTCATGATCATAAATTTGAGATTATTATTGAAGAGGTTTTATAGTATTCATTTATAAATAAAAAAAAAATTGAATGATTAAAATTCCTTTAAAAGTATATATATTTTTAGAAACAAATTACCGACGGAAAACATAAGGCATAAAATAGAAGAGTATCAATTAGAGCACAGAATTATTAAGCAGAAGAGTACGGTATTGGATTTATTTCGGACACCAAATTTGAGAAGAAACATTTTGGTAATGTCTTTTACTTGGCTCGCGTGCAGTTACTGTTTTTATGGGATGGCCCAATACATCAGCTTTCTAAGTGGGGACATTTTCATCAACGTAGTTGCCAGCGGCTGCGTATGTTTATGTGGCTGCATCATAGCCATACCGTTAATTAAATTTACAAATCGAAAAACTGTTGTAATTGTTACTAATGTTATATGCAGTTTATGTATATTTATCGTAGCGCTAGTCCCAGAAGGGGAGGCATCAGTGGTTCTTGGATGCATCGGCGTCATGTGCTGCTATGTCGTTTTCATTATTGTTTACTTATTTTGTTCAGAAATGTTCCCTACGGTAGTTCGAAATGCTGCTCTAGGAATTTGTTCAATGATGGCTCGAGTTGGAGCCATGCTAGCACCGTTTGTAGCTAACATGAAACAGCACGGTAAATGGTGTGCTCCCGTTGCATTCGGTATATTTCCGATCGTGTCTGCTTTGCTTTGTTTAATGTTACCAGAAACTAAAGACTGTGAGTTGTTGATGACTATAGAAGAAGGTGAAAATTTTACTGGAAGAGGACGGAATACGGTAGAAACAACAAGCTTTAGATCGCCAGACGATGAGGTACTTACAAATACTGTTTAACTGCTACATTATGTAAATGTAAAGCCCAAATTTAAAATAAAAGATTGTTAAAAATATAAATTTTATTATTATCTACTCTCTTAAAGCCTATGGGTATAAAAATGTAGACTTTTATAGTACTTATAGGAAAGAAACAGGGAAAGTTTAAATGCACATTCAGAGGCAATACTTATATTTATGCAGATTGTAGGTAGGTTGAATGTAGGTACGAGTCAAAGTATCACGTAATAAAGCTTAGTGGAGTATGCAGGGGTTCTAATCTAATGACATCGGCATGGCTTCCTGGCGGCGCCAGTGTTAGTCCACGGCCATCGGCGCCATGGTGGCAGGTTTCTTGATTTGCGCTGCGTGGTATTTCACCATACTCTCTGGTACGTTTTAAGGTATTTTTTTCGTATAAATATTTTAATAGTTAGAAATTTAAACAAATATTATTAAATTAAATACTTACAGCGTTGAAACAAATACATTAACCGTCATGATATAAGCAAAATCTTTAATTAAAGTTAATGTAATTTAATGTCATTTGAATAAATAAATCTCTCGTGGATAATTGTACAGCCAGAACTGATTCTTTAAAAAACTACTAACATACTCGCACTTTACGTATGATTTAATTTTATTCGATGTGTTAAAAATTTAAAATTGTTGTCTTAAAGTTTACTTTTAATGATCCATTAAAATTAAACTGTTTGTTATGACACCACATTTCAGCTGAAACAAGTAGATTTTTGTTATAAAATTAAGAGACTTTATTATCAAATAACTTAGTAAATTGAAAATCTAGTAACTTATTTTTGTGTTAGATAATGATTTACAATGTTAATATTATATGTTAATTCATTTAAATTCCTTTCAGGCTTCTTTATTTTGTACTGTCCTGTTATGTACCTGATTTTTTTTAGTCATAGCCTATATAGAAAAATTGTTGATTTCTTATTTGCATTGTGGGAACTGTATCCAGTGGTAAGAGGGCATATTTTTAACCTTTTAAAATAAGCTATTAAGGTATTTAATACTCATCTAAACAAATAAAATTTTAGGCTTTGTTTCAATGTTGCTGTAATACAGAGTTGCATCATTTTGGTGATTATGTGAATGCTGATGAAAAAACTATAATAGTTATGAACCACCGCACAAGAGTTGACTGGAACTATGTTTGGATCGCGTTGTACCACGCTACACAAAATCCTGTTCGTGATATATGTACGTGCAAACAGCCGGTTGATAGACAGGGTGCAGAAGATATCGGAGTATTGGATATTAGTGGCAAGGCAAAAATAAAATTTGTATTAAAAGATGAAATTAAAAGCATTCCTGGAATAGGTAAGTTAGTAACTTGTATAGTACGATTGTACAAGTAGGTGCCTACAATAAAAGGCCTGCTTATAATTAAAAATAATGAATTTAGAGATTATAAAAGTATCAAGAAAGGATATAATTAGAAAAATATTGAAATAACAATATGTAAGAATGACTTTTGTTCTCAGCACTGTTCATTGTAAGCCGAATTTTTTTATTGTAAGGATTAAAATATAATGAAGATTTAGAACCATCCTAAGATAAAATATTAGAAGCCGAAATGGACAGTTATTTTTTCTTATTACATTGCTTTTATTAATGAATTAATGCTGTGGTATTCAGTGAGGGCATGGCCTCTGAGTGGAGGTACTTTTTAATTTTCTTTATAATTTTATAGAATAGAATTATCTCATCGATTGATATATGACAAAAAAAATCTGCAGGATGGTAAAAGAAAACCGAACTCCAAGTTTTTGTTATATTTTCCTATGTTTGTGATCTAATGACCCGTACATGAATATTTAAAGTATTCGACTATTTTTCTTAGTTTATAATAATTATTAAGGTCTCTCTGTCATATTAAAGGCATATTAAACTGCTATTTGTGAGTAGTCCAAAATTATAACTTTCATTGTCATTTTCACCGTGTCACTGAAATCAAACACCAATAAATGATAGGAGATCAACGTTCCAAACGTCTGAATATAGGCATGTGTAGCTACTCTTATTATTGTCAGTATCTTTTGTAGTTGTTATCTTTTCTGCAGATGATCTTTAGTTTAATGCTCGCATATAACTTGCACCATAAGTAATATTCCTATATCCTAAAGAGTGTTACAAAAATCAGTCTGAGTCTTGCAGTTTAATCATGCAGACAAAGAATTTCTGCAATTTTACAAGAGCAAGGCTGAAGTTGCAATGCGTCATAAAGCATAAGTATACGGCATAATAATAATAAATTGAATAATTAATTTGAATAATGCATTTACTTTTGCAGGTTGGATAATGCAATTAAATTTTTTTCTTTATGTTAAAAGAAATTGGCAGGAAGATCAAGTAAACCTCGCTCAGTTTGCAGAGTATTATCAAAAACTTAACTATGACTATCGCCTGTTGCTATTTCCCGAAGGAACTGACTTAAGTTGCGATAACCGCCGCCGTAGTGAGAAGTTTGCTGTTACGAACAAATTGCAGGTTTGTCCGGACATGATCTTTGGTCTAATCTAAATACAACGAGAATATACGCTATACTCGTTTAATTTAGAACTTCAATTTAATTAGTGTAACTTTTGCCAATTTTTGGTACTAACTGAGACCGTTGTTTTTATTCCTCCCGAACTCAACACATCACGTCAGTAATATTATAGAATTGTGGTGTGTGATGTGTAATAATATTTTTTATTATCAAAAAAAAAAACAAAACTATGTGTATATATATTTCATCAGTATACTTAACTACTAAAACAAAACATCTCTGCATTCCCTCTGTCGTGGGCCCCAGTCCCTTCCGTAAGTTTAAAAGTAGTGATCAAAAATAATGTATTTATTTTTTTGTGCTATTTTTATAAGTAAGGGAGATATATTTTCCCACTCCTATCACTGATTTTAATATTATTGATATTGTTGTAGCATTATAATTTCGTGTTACATCCGCGTACAACGGGTTGGGCAGCCTTATGTTCTCGTCTGCGAGAGTCTGGTCTAGCCTCCATTTACGACGTTACAATAGCCTATGATACTCCAGCCCAAACAGAAATGGAGTTGTTAACGGGACGAATGCCCATGAATGTCTACTTTCATTGTAAAAGGTATGTTGCGGCAAACGTAGGCATTACAACAGTTTTATTATTTCTGTCTACGTTAAGACTATAATATGATTACTTTTATAGGCACACGTGCAAAAACAGGACGACTGTATTTTTTCCTTCGAGCTAGTGTAACTGGTATCAATTATTAGGAACAGGCTACAATTATAAATGATAAATAAAATCAATAAGTTACAGTGCTGTTTAGTTGTTTTTTCCTTGTCAATGAAACATTCATCCTTTCTTAATGTTGATCTAATTAGTTGAATGTACCCCCAAAATAGCTCGTATTTAAACATTGTAATAAAAATGTAAGAAAAATATGTTAAACAGATTGGCTTTCTTTTATTACATTCACTGTAAAATGAAAATTTAATATTTTCATTTTACACGGCGTATTTCAGAATTAGGCGCCCCAGGCACAATCAAAAACGCCATATTTAAAGGTTTCTTAAAGAAAACGCTTTATAAAAGATAAAAATGAATTTCTGAGGATGTGATGTCTGTTATGTGGCTCGAATCTATCTTTTAGGAACTGAAATACATATATAGGTAGATCCACAGAATTGCGACAGTATGACAGATAGTTTAATAATGATTTTCAGAGTTTTGTACAAGTATGATGTTGCTTAGGTAGTTTCATCAATTTCCTTTAGAAAAGTCAAATTAAAAAATAACAATACAAATAATGGGTAGTAAGATTGCAAACCCCGGCTTAACTGCTGCCCTTAGCTTACACTATAAATTAACTTCCGCGTGAGCCCGTTAACCTAACACGGCTTTCAGGACAGAGTGTCAGGATAACCGGCACGTACAGACGCTCAGGCAATCAATTTCATTGGTCACATACTATTCAAAATTTCAGATATCCTATTAAGAATATACCCCACGAAGATTCAGCCTTACGAACCTGGCTGAATGATCGTTGGAAAGAAAAAGAGGATAGTCTTCGGAAATTTCATGATGAAGGTTGGCAAAGTTATATGTATATAGATATATTATGTATATACAATAATCTTATTTAATAAGTATTTTTTAAGCCATGTTTATGTTTAGCTAGTCAAGTAGGATTGGGCGATATTTTCAGTTCAAACAAGGCATCCTTTTGCCCAACTAATTGCCTAAACCTACAGAATTAATAAATTAAACCGTAATATAAAACAACTGTAATATCGATGAAATTACTGGTTTAATTTATAAACAAGTAATATTATACGTAGGTACATATATATTTAGAACTCGAATATAGGGCCCAATGAAATCTCCCCTATCGTGCTGAAGATGTCTGCTCCAGAGCTGGCACCGGTTTTAACTCGCCTTTTTTGACTCTCTTACTCCCTAGGCGTCGTTCCGATCTCCTGAAAGGTAGCGTCTGTGCACCCGATCCATAAAAAAAGATGACCGCTCTGATCCGTTCAACTATAGGCCTATAGCCATAACCCCTTGTTCTCTAAGATTATGGAATCCTTAATCAACTGCCAGCTCCTCCGGTACGTAGAGATGTAACTCCGCTCTGCATTCTCTATCGTATATATCATGGAGAGTGCTCCTTGGAATTGTTCGGACTAATACCGGCCACAACCTTCCGCCCTCGTTCCACACGGCAAAATTTTCATCCTCACCTCTTGGATAATTGGCGCTTCCCACTTTGCGCTTTTCAAGACACTTTTTGGCTCTCACTACCAACCTGTGGAACAAGTTATCGGCTGCGGTATTTCCAGACCGATACGACCTTCAAACCTTCAAGAAAAGAGCGTACTCCTTCCTCATAGGCTGGCAACGCGCTCGTCACTCCTGAGTTGCAGGCGTTCATGGGCGGCGGTAGTCCCTTTCTATCAGGTGACCCGTCTGTTCGTTTGCCCTCTATTCCATAAAAAAGAGCTTAATTATCATTTAAGTACGATTATTTCGCTCGCTCTTCTTTCAAATAAAAGCCATTGAAACCGTGTTGACGTATTGTACCTTTACCTATACCTTTAGAGACTGACCATTAATTAACACGCTTCTATTAGCTTGGTATGTATGTATGTATGTAACGGCTTTTTCCATACCTAAACATACGGTAGTGTCTGTTACCGTGGTAACAGACACTACCGTATGTTTAGTGGTACGTGTACCAAGGCGTGTGCTGAAAGCGTATGTGATAAACTTACTTGTTACTTTTTAGTATTACTAGTCATTAATGACTAAAAAAGGAAAAAAAATAGTAAAATTTTTTTTTACGATAAAAAGATTTTTCTTTATATTTGTGTATGTATATGAATGCTACGACAGATAAAGGAAATAGTTTTATTCCTACATTAACTACTTTTCTTTTTGACAGAAGAAACGAACTGTTACGTTTTTCAGGAAATTTCACTGACCCGGAATCCAACAGACCACCTCCACATCGATCTCCAAGGCCGCTGTTGACTGCCAAAGTAGGGTTTCTATTTTGGACTGTTATTGATATATTATTTCTATATTCTCTGTTGAACAGTGTCTTGTTTCAATTTTGGGTTATCTATCATTGTATATTTTTTATTTTTATAACCTGGTACTTTGGAGGTTTCCATAATATTCAGTATAAGCTTCTCGTCAAACCTGTGGTGTAGGGTAAAGAAAATAATATTTTGTTCATTAAATAATATTGAATAATTTTAATAAAGTAAATCTAGTTAATAATGTCGAATACATGTGAATTCTCATTAATGCCAAATTATATCTATCTACTTATCGTATTTTATAAAATTACAATTCATGTTTTAAATAGAAATAAAAGTTTTTCGTAAATAGCGTATTATTTTGAAAATATAATTAATAACTTACTTAATCTTAAATTCTACACATAATTTTAGTATGGCGCAATCTATGTTACCTACTTTTTGCACCTAATAATAAACTAATTCGACATGGCTGTGCTGCCAGCACGCTTTTGGGGATGCTACCAGTAGGCGGTAAACAGGAGTAATCTTTTGACACTTGCATGTGTTAGAAATTATATTTAAATTGTTGAACGAGGGGTTGTCTAATCGGATAAGTTGCGGTAGTCCAACGTGCATTATATGCATATATAAGTTTTGATTGCATAATATCATTTAATTAATTTAACTTAAAGTGACGACATTTATAAACGGCTTAAGCATAAAGCGGTTAAGAGATTAACAGGTATTTGGTACAAATAAACGTTATTTAAGTTGGTAATTTAATAAAAGTACTTAGGTACCAGTACCAGTATGTACTGGTACCGTGCGAATACTAAGCATGGCGTTGAGGTTATGAAATATTGTCATTAATTTAAAAGTGTTCTTACACATGTAAATAAGCCATATAGTAAAATTGGTTATGTAAATAAATTAATTTAAAGTATGTAGTAGATTTTTTCTTTACATTACACCTTAAAATATTGTATATTAATTTAGATACAGATAGTTTCATTTTAGACCTTACTTTTAACTTACGTTCAAACATCTTCAATCAGACAGGCACTACAAACAACTTACAGGTTTCTGTTCAAATACAATAAAATATATCATGTTATAATATCATACATGGTTCATGGGTGACTTTTCTCTGTCTGCAATAGTATTGGGTAACGTAATATCTTTAGTTTCAGGCAGAAAATAACATAGTATAGCAGCACTGAACGCAATAATACTAAAAATTAAAATAGACACCCATTCCGTTCCTATATTTACAACAAAAGGAGCAATAAATCCTCCAACTCTAGCAAACATTGAAGCAAAACCTATAGCAGTGTTCCTAATCACAGTTGGAAATACTTCAGATGTGAACAAATACGTTTGAACAAATGACGTGTAGGCTCCTATTAAACCTATAATAGCAAACGTTAAACTAGCAGCTCTTAAATCACTTGGGATAAATATAAATACTATCAATGAGACTGCTGCTGTAACAAACGTAGTAATGATTGTTAATTTTCTTTTAAAATGTAGTGTAGCAATGACGATAACTATAAGTCCCGGGACGAGGAATGCTGCAGAAAGCATCACGTTTAAGTATATATTTCCTTGAAGGCGACCAATGTATTGGTTCAGCCCGAAGAATGTGTGTGAACAGCACATCCATATTAATGCAGCAATAATAGTGTACATCCGTATCTTTGGCGTTTTAAACAAATCTGCATATGTGCTAGTTACTTGCTGATTTTTAATTGATAGCTCCACTTTGGTAACGATATGTTCAATGTTGTCTGTTGCTCGGTTGTTCCTGTATAGAGTAGAGTTAAATTAGATAATTCATTAAGCCATGTTATAAAAAAAGTATCGTTTTCTGCTGTTTATATCAATAAAAGTTGACGTCGACATACTAAAGAAAATAAAAACGGAAATCTTACTTTTTTGCAATTTTCGTTAACACATCAATAGCTTCCTTCCGTTTTCCAACACTTATGAGCCATCTGGGTGATTCTGGTATCAACCAATAATATGTAGCAACTATGACCCAGGGTAGCGAAGTTACTAGCTGCAATGTTCTCCATTCTCTTACGAAATATGCTATAATGGGTAGTGTAATGTAGCTCAAAATTAGTGAAACTTCCGAGAGACCACTCATATATGGTCGAAATGACTTGCCGCATAGTTCAATAACTAGTACATAGCAACAGAGCATGGTACCTCCTACCATAGTGCCAATTAAAAATCGACACACAACGAACATCCAAAATTCTGGCACTGCTGCTGAAACGGCCACGAAGACTACTTCGAAGAACAACGATATCAACACAACGAGCTTGCGGCCATATCTGTAACATTGACAGTATGTTAATCTTGTAGTCATTATTTAACACCAACTATATGTTACTAAAACATTTTACCCTACTGTATGGGTAAAATGTTTAATTTTTATTTCTTGGTGAGGCGTGAAGTATGTGAGAGTACTTTTTCACTTTGGACATTTTATAGAAACCAAACAATAAATAAAAAAAAGGATTATTTAAATACAAATTGAGATATTAATGTTTCGATTGGCAACTACTATAATATATGCAAAACTAGCTGTACGCTTCGCTATGGCATGTCGTGGTTGCATGAATGAGAAATAGATAAAAACCAAACTCAAAGTATAATTGTAGTGAAACATCGAGATTTTTATTACTTTTAATTCACGAAGGACTCTCTGGGTTGTCAGTGTCAGAAGTGTCCATACTGCGTTTAACTAGATAATTTCATCCAACCATCAGACAGAGTTTATTACATTATGTCAGCAAATGTGCATACTCACTGTTATGCATAGAACACATTAATATCTGATATATTCACTTACCTATCCGAAATTTGTCCAAGAATAAAACTACCAACTAAAATTCCAACTTGTAAAATTGATTGCGCTAAACTTGCTAACGACGTTCTTTCACATATGAGATTCCATTCAGTTGTCACCGAAGTGACTATTGTGCTCGTGTCATATTCCGGATTATCACATGGACAGTAGTTGGTTTTATTATTGTCAAGGCAGTTATACTCAACACTAGGTAGAACAAATACAACATTCATAATCTGATACTCTGTTGGGAATCTACCTACTATAATTAAAAATAAAATCCAAGTTTGGTATTTCCCGAAACGGCCAATTGCAGTTTCTATAGGATCTTCATCCATTTTGATCGCCTGTAATATGATACAATTTTATTGTAATCTGAAGGTGTATCGAAATAATTTAAATAAAAACAAAAAAAGTGTAAGTAAACATTTTTTCTAGTAGATGATTTTTTTTTCACTTGAGAACGTGCACATCATTAACTTCAATATATTTATTTCTAGTAAATGTATTAAAGTTACGTAATTTCACATATATTTAATCGCTTAATGTTTTTAGTTAAGCGCTTTATTGCATGTTAGCTGGGTTGTGCACTTCAGATGAGTAAAAGAAAATGTTATCTATATGCAATTTGTCCCAAGTATAGTCTAGTTTGGATATAAAACATAAAATATAATACCTTCATCCATTTATGAAATGCTGAAAAAGTAAAAATATAGCCAAAACGTCGGTTTACGGTCACTTTCATCAGTTTGCGACCACCTATGCGTTGGTTTTAAAATAATAAATGCACCAATAAAATAATTATAATTGTTAACAAAAATACTATGGTTATTACTAGGTGTGGGGTTTTACTCATATTTGTTTGTTTGTTTTCCAAATAAAATATAAAGTTTCTAACTAACGATTTCAACTAAGATTTCAGTGGAGCTAAAACGTAAATGTCTGCTGGCTGGAGTTTTTGGGTTGTGTTGTGGAGTAGAGCATAATATGTAAAATGATGGCAAGATTCTCGCTCATGGCACTCGAAGACCTGAATGACTTGTGTGACTTGTGACCATCGATCAGTAGTAATATATTTTATTATATACAGTTGTTTTTTAATACGATTACAATTAGGTGGACCACCTAATTATTAAAGTTGTAATCGTATTAAAATATTATTAAAAAAATACATCCGAGAGAATCTATCCACTTTCTAATTTGTCAAGACAACATTCTTTGTACATTCTTACTTCTTATTAGTATCTTTCAAGAAGCTCTTATTTATTCTTCGGTTACTCTAACTTTATCATCAGCTACGTGGCATGACATATCAGGATGGCCTGGTACTGTTTGGAAATTTAAGCACCAGGTTTGTACCGGTCTATTCGGTATCTCTTAGATTGAGATCTTGAATTCTGTTCCGAGGGATCTGATACCGTCTACCAATTTCTCTTATTCAAAAAGGAGGTTGTTAATTATTATTTGACAACTATTTACAAAACGCATTAGATTTATTTTTCGTTTATTTTACTTCTAGAAATGCATTATCTTGACTTAAAGTAAAAATGGTCGGCGGCCGCGCCATGTTTACAATATTATTTTACTTTATAAATCATTTTTCCTTTACTTATTGATCATTCCTTAATTAAATTTAATTAACATGAAAAATGTTACAAAAGGCATTACAATAGGCCCGTTTCCAAGGGGTTGTCTTCTACCCCTTGCAAACGGGCGGTTGTAGATCGGCACAGGCATATAATAGATTTTGTATGAGGTTTATTTTTATTTGCTAACTATTTGAGAAAACAGAGATTGTTGCTATCGTGTTTGTGTTGATCTATGACTTGAGAGTCTACCTACATAAAAGACGATTTCAAACAATTTAAAAAAAAAAATGAAATAAAGAAATCTTGAGTTTGAGTTTGTCTATTAGACATTGTATTAAATAGTTACAGGCATCGTTCATCTGTATTTAATACATATACACATACAATACGCAGAACTTTAATTTGGTACTTATCATGTAATAGGCGGGTAGCCCATTGCTTAAATTGAAAATAGTGAGATTCCATTAAACTGATTTCAAAAATTCTTTCACCAATGGAAAGCTGCATTATCAGGGAGTAACATAGGCTACTTTTTACCGAGATAAACAACATACACGCAGGCGGAGTACCGGGTCAAAGGTAGTCCATATTTCAATACTAATATTATAAAGAAGAAAGATTTGACTTTTTGTTTGTTTGTAATGAATAGGACTCACTGGACTGATTTTAAAAATTCTTTTTAGTTCTGGTACGCGTTTAAACACAAGCCATTTTATTAACTGATAAGATAAACACGATATAGATGTATTGTTTGCTTACGATATGTCACTTATGTTAAGATTACAAAATACACTTGTTGATCGTTGTCTACTGTAAAGGGGGAGATTGTATTAATATTCAATGTGAGCATCTACTCGGACGATTTTGTGTTCATATAATCAATAAGAGTAAATGATTAATATGCAGTAGAAAATCCCGAACTCAAAATGTACTTTACGTGTAACTAATATAGGACCGGAGTTACACCACGGACTCAAAGAATACCAGTGTGAAGCAGTTATTTAATTGCAGGTGTCTATGTGCGGCGGCAGTCACTTTACGATCAGGGTTTTAATTCTAATAGTTTAATATTGTATCAATAGTGTCGATGTGGATGAAATGTCATCAGAATAGTTTTGCACCATTCCTATTCTACTGACTATGTAAGACCAATGGCCTGTCGATGACTTGTCACTGATACAAATGTCGTCGATGTCTTTGTAACAGTTAGGTAACCGGTACATTTTAAATTTGTGAAATAATATACTTATTTTTCCAGGTATGGCAATGTTCTTGATATCGCCATTAATGACCTTTATTACTATATCGACAGTCTATTTACACTGTGAATTTATGTTAGTAGAATACTGATATTTTGACCGATGTCAATGGCGTCTCAATGGCATCTTAATAGCGTGTCAATGGAATGATGTGAATGGCTTGGCGTTAACATAAAATAGCAGAATTGAGGCCCTTGTGACCCGTGTTCTCGTTCGCCCATACACCATAAAAACAAATTATTAATTAAAGGTCAAAAAGATTAAATAATAGAACTAATAATAAAACTGACAAACACGTGGGCGTGAAAGCTAGTTTGGTATACAATATACCAAACTAGTTTTCACGCCCACGTGTATGTTTGCGGCACGTTCAATATATGACTAAAATTACTAAACTAATAAATTAAATCTTCATATTAAGCGATTCACAAGATTCAAATTTAAACAACATGGTTGGACATGACCCAAGTTTGCTTTTTCTTTTAAGTGAAATAGAACTTGTCCCTAAATTCACATTATATTAGGTATACATATTTTGAGTAGTACATACCCTAGTATATACATACATACATAGTGAGTAGTGATTCCTAGACAACAAGTTATACTAAAATGAGCTATTATAACTATAGTGAGACACGTTATCACAAATTGCAATTACACAAAAACAAAAGAAAAATAGAGTAATCAAAACTAATGAGAAAATAAACTTTTCTCAGGCTTCTAAGTAAGGTAAGGCTGTGGTAATATTTCTTAATTTACTTACACAAAATAATGAAATTATATTTATACCTTAGATACTTAAGACTAAGTACATACCTTTGTTTAATTTGATATTTACAATCACTGACACAAATTCTTTTTTCAATATTTGTAACGTACGTCTTAACTTTATTGTTTGTTGCTAAATCAAATAACTTTCGCTTCTACATAATAAAAGGTTCCATTCAAATCTATGTTTTTTCGTCATATGAGTGCTGTGCTGACACTGACGCCATAACTAAATGATCCAAGCGTTACGAATGAATCAGTAATACCGTAAAATATTTATCAAAGTGATACGCTCGTGTTATAAAGATTCAGGTTTATACATAATAATTATATTCCATGAAAGTAAATAAGATTGTTATATTTTCTATATTTAGTATGTGTTTTGTAGTTATAGGTGGATCAATCATTCTATCATATTATTGTTTTCTAACGTAAGTCATATGACTTCAACCTTAGAAATTCAAAATTAAATCACCTAAATTCAAGTCAAAATCTAACAAACGATTGGAATTATTTGGTAAATCTTTACTTAATTCACTGGCTTGGGACTTGGTTGTGAATTGTGACGAAACTAAAAATTGTTGAATTTGAATTTATTATGGTGAATTTGTGATTTAAGTACATACGCTGCATTGTTTTAACTCAAACAAATAACTTGTCTCTAAAAAACAAAGTTTAGATTAAAATCGGTGGTGCATTTCTTTTTACGACAAAACATCAAAGAAATATGAACGTTGGTCGAGTTATTTCTAATTACCCAGTGATTGTTTACTGAATGAACTAATTTAATGTACACAAACTGTACTAATTTTTCGTAAATAGTTCTATCAGGAAAAAAGATCCTTCTACATTCAGTTCAGGACATTGAACTTGGAAACCTATGTTTATATACTTAATGAAAAAAAAATGTTGTTTGATGTAGTATTAATATGAATAAAAGAAACAATTTTCTGTTTAGGTTTTAAACATTTTATTTACATCACAGCCTATGTCAGTAAATAAGGCACATAACAATTTTTGAATCTTCGACGGTTTGCGTCAAAAGCTTGACAGCTTTTACAAGATTAATAAGTTGTAGTAATATCGTTTAGTTTATCTATACATTATTACAGTAACAAGCTTGTTTAAAAAAATCACAATACTTAAATAAAATTAAAATAATTACATGTACAATCTGCACATAGCTTATAACTTCAATACTTCTCGTTAACACATGTCTTCAAAAAATTATATAATCTGTGTCAAACGGAGTACAAGCAATTATCAAACAATTTGCTACAAATCCTAGACTATTTTAATGCAAAATTAATTTGTTTCTTTGTTTCCTTCAACCGTTCCGTGTGAGTTCAATACTTTTGGCAGGATTTATATTAATTAACAAAAAAGTTGCACATGGTACTATTTGTAAAAAGGTGAAAGAAGTCTTGTACAAAACATTGAAAAAATTACTTACATAGCTTACATAGTATACTTTTATAGTATAATTATTTTGAATATTATAAATGCAATAATTTAATTAACGTCACAGACCATTCAAATTTTTATAACGAATTTAGTTGATGTAAATATCCCCGATTTGCTTTTTAACAGCTACTACGTCATTACCATAATCAATTATGGCTCTCTAATCACATGGATCACACGCATACACTCGTACATGTGTGATAAAAATACTTTTTTCATCTGAATGTGTTTTATGTCTCGGTCTCTTTTGGAAGACATACTTTCAGAAGATATTATAAAAAATTTACACCTAGACTGTCAATGATCATTTTATACTTCACCTTCTGCTAAAGTATCAGGCAGTTTTCTGCCTCGAGTGTCCGGAAGTAAAATGCAAAGAACAGCGCCTATTAGAGGAACTATTCCAAAGGCTAAGGGTGGTAGCCAAGAACTAGTGTTGGATAGAGTAGCTACAAAAGGGGCTACCATTGATCCTATTCTGGCAGCCGTGGATGAGAGCCCTACGCCCGCGTTTCTCACCACGGTTGGAAACAGTTCTCCTGCGTATAAATATACCGTAGCAAATGAAATGCTCAATCCGAATAACCCAATACAACCGAGCGTAAGGTGACCGGCGCCCGATTGTGGTACAAAGATTATGAGGAGACAGCTGAATCCTGTAATGCAGTTGGCGCAGACCAACGTGATTTTCCGACCAAGAATTCTGTTAGTGTAGATTGATATGATGGTGCCGGGAACCTGGAAAAGTTTAAAGTAAACGCAATTGTTATAAAAGAATTAGAGGTATTTTAGTAAATTGTATCTGTGGTTAATTTTTTTTTTATTATTTATTGATGCCATTGACTATTTATTTATTATTTAGTTCTGCAGGTACACTTATGAATTTGATTGGTGGTGTGTCGGACTCGGACCGACTAAAACCACACGGTGTGCTACTCTGCGCCTGTAATAGGAGGGATCCGGGAACAGCTGTTATTAAGACATTCGGACAACAAACCCTATATCAACCCGTCTGGCTAGCGTGGCATAGTAGGTAGTAGGTAGTATATGTCCAGCAGTGGACTAGTAAAGGCTATTGATGAGGTGATGTGACTCTGCCAATGATGTAGATAAAAGTAATTGCACTATTCGTGGTTAAATGCTACTATAACATCAGAGACACATAAAGTAAGGATATAAGGTTATTAAGCACTAACACATTACTTATTTAATGCACTAATATTATTTTTACATTTAATACTCAAAAGTAAAAAAATATCTTCGTATTATGCCTACTACTACACTGATAGAGTAAATTGTGACAATTAATGATTATCTGATAGCATTTTATGGTTCAGTTTTATAAAGTTACGTGCATATATACATACTAAAGCTGTATACTAAGATACAGTATTCGGGTGCAAACGCTTGTGATAATACCTTCAATATTTTTTTATTAGATATAAGTAGTAAAAAATTAATCATTGAGATTATACATGAAGTCGTGATAGATGTAGATACTCAGAGGCAGAGGCAGATTAGATACGAAAGACTTTTGAGCTTGGGTTCTTATAATCATGCACATAGAATGGTAGCCTTGTTGGTTTAGGACCATTTATGAAAGTCATTTACATTTAGTAAAAAGAAAATTACTGACAGTAACAAAACCCCCATTTTCCAAAAAGACAAGATTTGTTTCTACCAAGTTCACAACGTATATTAACACTGATAATCACTATTTATTAATTATCTAAGAAATTTAAAATATTAAATAAGCAACAAATCGCTATTGCGCTTATTTTGCCGCCATATCTTCTCTAGGTCCTCATAATGTAGAACAATCAATTTAACTAAATTACTGTAGTAGGCCAAAACCTCCTTTCTAAGAAGAGGCCTATGTCCAGCAGTGGACTAGTAAAGGCTGTCGATGATTGATGACTGTAATTAACCTGTATAAGTATAAATATTCAATGAAATAATTACCAGTATAGCTGCAGAAATAGCAACGTTAGTGAATATCTTGCCGGAGACGTGCCCTATGTACTGCGAAACTCCAAAGAAACATAATCCGCACACGAACCAGTTGTATAGAATGGCGATGGTACGCGCTCGCAGCTTTGGTGTCCGGAAAAGATCGATGAAAGACGCATGCTCCTCTTGTTTCCCGCTTATTTCAACATTCATCTTTTGAGCCACTTGGGCTATATTATCTGTGGGTCGACCGTTCCTTAAAAGGAAAAGATTTTTTTAATATTTAAACTATAGTACATACTCGTATATCTATTCAAGATGTCCTCTATATCTTATGATTTCCATCTCAGACAATGACAGAAGATCACTTTTTTTGCACTGCACGACATGGATCGATGCCCCAAAGCACCATTTTGGTCCTCGTACATGACGGTACGCGCTTTTAAGTAGTCTGCCACCAGCCGCCTCAGGTACTCTGGCACCCAAAATAGTAGAGTGCTTTCCTGATGCAGTTGAAGGGCAGACTATTGAATGCATTGGAGATGTCCAACGACACTGCCAACAGCACGCCGCCACGGCTCAATGCCTCTTCAGCCACGGGCCTGAACAAAGCACCGAATGTCTAACGCCCCGCTTGAAAGCCGAATTGGGCGTCTGACAGATCGGGGCCTACCCCCCAGAGGTGCCGGACGATGCGGGCAGAGAGAACCTTCACAAACAATTTACCCGCCTCGTCCAGCAACACGATGGGCCCATAGGCCGCGACCGAATCCTTGACAGGAGATCACTCCATTAACGGCTACTGGAGTTTAGTACAACAAGTAAACAATTGTACTTAAATTTAAAAAAAAACCTTCTGTTTTACTTTAATTGGACAACAAATCCCACTTAGAAAAGAAACCACACGGATTCTTAAATATTTATTTTACCTTGAATAGATTTAGATTCTAAGAAATTAAATTGTATTTTCATATATGAGATATTTTTATAATTACTGAATAAAATTGACATTGTTTTTGTCAAGAAAGCAACCAACTGCATGTTGAGTAATTATAGGCCAAGATTTAACAAGACAACGTGACGATGTAATATTGAATATATTATGTATGTTAGAGATTCTTCAAAAGTTTCCTTAACAAGTTCATTAAACAAAACAACAAGAATTACAAGTTAAAAGTACTCATAATAAAATAGACAATACCATTAATTTTATTGTAACAATGTTTCATAAACAACAGATGTTTCATGTATTTATCAATCAATGAAGAAGATAAAGTCCATTGTTGAAGTTCTATCAGCTGTTGCCTTTGGTCATCCGGTGGCAGGTTAAAGAGAAAACAATATGTTTTAAATGAGTAATTATCAGTTCAAACCTAGAAAGAGAACTGTAGTATATTATGACTCAAAAAAGTTTACATAGTTTGAAAAACATCACGGTAAAGTTTTCTAAACATCTGTGTTTGCGCATGAATTTAGACGGTGTTAGGGAATGTGATCATGAGAGGAAATATGTGTTAGAAATGTGATCATTTGCGAAAATCTTTGATGAAATACGCAGTAAGAATTGTTTTTTATATAATAATTGGCCAATTTTTAATCTAGTCTGTTGTATTAAAGGGGAAACACGTTTGAATCATTCTGATAATAACAGGTAGATACCTATTTCGAATCTGAATGGCGTTTTAATCAACCAATTTTTATAGATGAAAAATAATTTATTTGATTGTCAAAAATACTTACATCATAGCAGCGGTAGTCATAATTTTTACCGCTTCTTCAGCTTTGCCTGAAGTTAAAAGCCATCTTGGTGATTCAGGTAATAAAAAGAAGTAGCTCAAGAAGAGAATGGAAGGTAGTGATATTGCCAGTTGGAATGTACTCCAATCTCGAAGATAGTAACTGAACAGCGGTAACGTAAGGTGACCCAAGTTGAACGGTATCTGGTAGAGGATGCCAACAGTGTCTCTGTACTTGGTGCCGATTAGTTCCATGATGAGGACGAAGCTGGTTACCATGGTTCCTCCAGTAGCAACCGCAAGGAAGAATCGAAGGGCCGTGAACATGTACCAGTCCACGGAATACGCAGTTGCTACACCAGAAATGAGTTGGAGAAACACTGCCGCAAGGAACGGCAGGCGACGTCCATATCTGTAATAATAAACATAAAATGGTATAAGTATGATTGTTAGGTAGTAGATCTGTATCATTTATAATAAAGTAAACACTTATTATTTTTCTTTTAATATATCCCTATACATTGAAACATAGATTTTCTGCCATTCATTTTAGGTATAAAATCCTAAAAACACATTATAATAGGGTTGTATTTACCCTTAGTATCAATATTAACATGGTAATTCATTAAATTCGTTAAATTGTAAAGTTGTTCATAGAATTGGTATTTGTTAGTTAGAAGTTTAATTATAGAGCAGGTGTAGGTAAGTTTTGAAGAGTGTGACGTGTACGTATTAATTCATACGTTCACGAAATTTCACGACTACAATTTATTTGCTAACTGCTAATTAAGAATTCACAATTAAATATAAGTGAAGACTAATTTTTCATCACTACTAGATAACCTACATGTTAAGTTCCTTGAAAAACTCACGGGACACCCTTCACCTACTCTGTCTATTCGTTTTTTTTTTCATTAAAACTGTTGCTTGAGAACATAATGCACCAAATTCGTAAATTAACGTTTAAATCGCTCGAAACGCAATTAATAAAAAAAATTGTAAAGTGCAAAAATACAATTGCATTTGAAAATTTTCATTAATTCATTGTACCTCACTATGATATAAACGAATATAAAGATTTTTATGAATATGCCGTAGAAACCAACTGCATGTTCATAACAACTTTAATATCATTAAAATTCAAGGTTAAATTTAGACTAATAAAGAAATAAAAGTTGATTTTCACTAGATTCGTTACTCTGGTCCTTTGAAAGAGTAATGATCAGTTCCTATATACATATGATAATTTAATTTAAGCGCAGAAAAGAATATGTATTTACCTAGTTCAGTACTTTTAGCTACAATTAACTATTTTATGTCAAGGTCAACCGTTACACCGGATGTTGTGCCTACATCATTTCAACCTTTAAGTTCATGAAATTATTTAGGCCTACTTAGATGGCTAATCTCAAAGTCACTAGTTAGATTAAAATAACGTTCCAAAATTAGCATCTTGTTATTGAACAGTCATCAAATTATATGTTTGTGAGTTTTTTCTTATACTTGTTTTTGCATTTGTCACATTCGCATCACGTTCATCATCTTCGCGTTCACGTTATATTAAACGTTTTATCAAGAAGCGTAAATATTCGTTTATTCGTCTTCTAATCTTGTAACAAGGTGTAAAGAAATACGCAAATAATTTACGCAAGAAGATTTACATTCAGGAAGTAACACGAACCAAGGTTTTCATTATAATTAAGTATTACGAAGTATTATCGTGTAATTGACCATAAGTCAAAAAAGTTCAAATAGTCCAGGATACCAATAATTTCTAATGCAATTGATAAATAATGTGTAATAAAGTGAAGAATCGCATTTAACTTATTATTTTTTTATATTATATTTTAACTTTATATGACGAAATATTTCACGTAAAGTAATTCCATCCGGCATCCGTGCGTAATTTGTTGATTGTTAGAACGGGCGTGCAGCATCAATGGCAGGATACGTCAATTTGGTGTCAACAGATCTGACGTGGTCGTACATTATGACAAAATAATAGAAATGTAAACCCTATCTACATTTTCCTCAAATTGAGCTGGCTGTATATGATTATATATAATAGGGAACGTGTTTATATACAGAAATACAATAGGTACTCGTACGCCAACAGTGCTGGTTAAGATTAAGTCGGACAGCATACATATTCCAACAGATTTTTTTTCTCCAGAAAACCTTTTCCGTGTGTTATTTAGAAAACAAAAAAAAAAGCCTGCTATGGCTGACTTGATTAATTACAGAGTACATGTAGTACTAACATAATAAAATTTCGCACAGTCATATCTTTTCCTCTACAGTAAATCTTTTGATCGCTATTTAAGGCATTTAGTGGTTTACTTTGATTATAAGAGACTGATAATCATTTGTAGCTTTTGGTGATTTAAATGAAAATACGAACCTGTCAGATAGATGTCCAAACATCATATTGCCAATAAGGATCCCCAGCATGAAAATAGTTTGAGTAAGATTTTTCAACCACTGTCTCTCGCAAACGAGATTCCATTGTGATACGATGGTTTCTTGAAAGACAGAATGGTCGTATACATAATTAGAACAGCTAGCGTTGCACACATTATCAAATTTTCCAGGTTCAGAGCTCGAGCATGTAAAGTTCATCGGTGGAGAAAGGAATATAATGCTCATCTGATGCCAAGCCACAGGAAATTTGACCAGAAATACAATGACACATATCCAAAATTGCCATTTGCCAAAAGCTCCTATTGATTTAGTTATGGGATCAGTGTCTTCTTTCGTTTTTTCTTGTCCATCCACAACTTTTGTTTCGGTCTCCATCACTGCAAACAAAAAAATAAAGTAAGGTTAAATGTTTTTTATGGTAATAAGGTGTTAATCAAGTTCGCTGGATTCGCGTATCTGTCTTTGTAAAAATTATGTGATATACGGCGTATCAAATTTCATTGGAATCGGTTGGAGGTGTTTTACTTCGGGTCGGAGCTAGTTCTCGGAATATAATTTATATTTCAAATAGTCCTAAATTAAAAAGATGAAAAGTAAGAGGTAGCAGGGATCTATTGGATGCCGAAGGCGGATTACCAGCAATGCATTGCAATAGGCTAAACAATTGTTTTATTTGATTGAATGATTCCAAAAGTAAAAATATATCAAGTTAACTCCCTAGCCGTGCTGATAAAACTAATCGAGAATCAGCCACCTTTATCACAAAAACTATCAGTATAGTTTTGTCTTTCAACATTAAATTTAGGTACTTGACTGAGGAGACTTTATTTTTTATTGTTTTTCACATGCGCTGACTCATAACAATTACTGTAATTAAATTAAATATTTGCTATCTGGCGGGAAATCATATTGTAAACGATCTCTTTGTTAACCAGTCGTTGTCAGTCGTTTGATAGTCTGAGATCTCTTGAGTGAGGTAAGTGTTGTATTTTTCCAGGAACATATCACCGAGTTGTTGAGAAGGTAAAAGAATAACGTAACTAGTCCTTCGTGTAGTAGTGTAGTTTTCCATACATAAATAAAATGTTCATAACTGTGTGGTGGCTTGTTTCGGGTTATGACCGTGATCTTTGTTTGGCGTGGTTGAATCCTGAGTACCTACATAGTTTTGCAAATCAAATACATTCGTAAGTCAACTTTATTAGGTCCGAAATTTGGAAACTGCTTATTAATTTAACTATTTACATAATTTACTTTCATATTCGTTTAAATATTTATTGATATTATAAACGGTTGGGTAATTGGTATGAAATAAATTATTGTATGACAAACACGTGAGGTGAAAGATTTAACTTAATACGGGTGTAAAAAATAAAATATTTGAGTGTACCCACTTTGAATAACACTTTCATATTATGATCACTATTAGGTAGACACAAGGCCGTCGTAGGCTATGCTGGGGCCCCTGGTCACACAAGAGTTTAGGGCCATGTTGGACAATAAAACTTTAGCTGTGAAAATGAGCGATTTCAACAACAATTTTGAACTGCATGGATGGCGTAGTGGTTTAAGCGGTCGCCACGACCGCTTTGTGTGCTCGACAAATTGTTGTTCTGAGTCTGGGTGTTCTTTGTGTCCGTTTCATCTATGTTTGAAAGGTGGTTTTATTAAAAAAAAAAATTTATTGGTAACCATAAAGCAAAAAGACATTGTAGTACCAATTTCAACATAAGGCCTTCGTGATAGAATTCTTTAAATTCACTGCATTTTTAATCAACTCTTAAGAGTCGATTGTTGTTAAGTGAGAAATAACACTAAAACGATTGCCAATTTCTTAATATGCTTCCAAACGATTTTTCGAATGTGCTTATAATGTATCGATAAAAGTATTTACACGAAGTTTTTTTTTGCCATGCAACTGTACTGTCTCTGATGTTATTTCAAAAAAAGTGGTGCATGTGCTGCGAATTATTTTCCTTATTCAACATCCACACATTTAATAGCCTGAATACCTACTAAATTTAGCGAGTGTACTGCACACAGGACAAAAATTGCAAATTCACATTTCTTTTTTATACTGACTGAATACTTGTCTTGTTTCCTGTTTGCCAACTTTATTACTAGTTTATCCCCACTTCTCAGGTTTTCTTAGGTCTGAAGCTACACCCGTCAACTTAAGAAAACGTTGTTAGGTATCTTTCATAACTATTATCAATTTGACAAATAATTTTTTAAGTTGTAATTATAAATAGGTTTTCTAAATAGGTTACCGAAAATGAAAAAAAATCAGGCCATAAGACGACTTTACAGACCAATAAAAAAATTTAGATGATGGCGAAATGCGTAACTACTTTCCTACCTGTTAAGCTTGGCAATGCCACATTTTCTGTGGTATTCGGCAATGTCATTAGCTCGTTATTACTGAGGCCTTATTTACGAAGACACCCCGCGTCGCTAAAAAAATTAATAGAGTAAGCGAATATATCACTTTTCAAGCTCCCGTGACGAAAGCATTTGGGCACGGGCCCCGTGTGCCTTGATGGTAAAGACGGTACTGGGTAGATACAAGTAATGATGGAGATTGGAGATCTTGTTTTTTTCCTGTGTACCCCTGGCTAAGATTATATCAATAAATGGGGTAATGTCTCTAATGTCAGTCAATCTCTATGATACACGAACGTCACATATATTGAGAATAAAAAGATTTTGAGCTAAAGTCTGAGCTGGCTACTGAAGTCAATTCTACTCAGAGCAAATATTGGCAACATAGCTAATTTAAAATGAGCTTGTAAGTTATTAGGTTAAGCTACTCGTTATTAACACACGACACAGATATCTAAGAAACCCAATTAAAATATAAAATATAAAACTATTATTTAACCGCTTCTGCCACCCAACCCAAATTGCATCATCGTTAATTTTGTCCGCCTTGTTCTTTTAAACAAGCAACTAATTATTATTTTTTGCACTATATTCAAATAATAAAATTTAAAGGTTTGATAAACCATTACGAAATCTGATTAAGGCTTCTTAAGATGGTGAAGCGAAAAGTGGGGCATAGAAATATAAAAAAAAACTGCGATACGCAGAGGAATTAAACGAAGCGCCGCGCTGCGTACCGCATAAAGAGTGATTCAAAGTACATACGATACGATCTTATCGTACTACGGGTTGAAGTTGTAATTTAATCATCTATGATGTGTACTGGTATCGAAGTCCATGTTTATTTTGTTAACGGCGATGCATGACCACATTTAAACTACGAGCATGTCTTACGCATGAGGACATAGATTCCTCATTTGAATTAAAGAAAAAACAAAATAGAAATTTTACTTTAGAAGAGGTAGTTTGTTTTAAATACGCATCTTATTGTAAGTTCTTTTATAAATATATTGTACATTCGTTTACAAAATAATCTCTAGACTGTAAATAAAGTATAAAATTGTTTTTTTTTAAATTTCATTTATTTTTCGATTATGATTTTTTGTTTGAATTGAGTAACCCCCTTCTCTTCAAGCTTAACTGTTGCCATGAAAATTTTGATAACATTAATAAGGGTAGTTAATATAATGTATACAATTTTGAATTAAGAAATAGTATCACGGTTAAGTTAGTTCTGTTAGGTTACGATATATAGTCGTCCAAGATATAAAATATACCTGCTTAAAAAGTTTCGTACAAAATACCGAATCCATAGAAAAATGTTGTTAAATTAATTTATTAGTTGTTTAAAACGGGTAGTAATAAACTTCGGAATACTACACTGCACATGCCGCGACACGCACTTGGCCAATTTGAAAAAAAAAACCTGAAAGACGCTATCAAAGCATTTAACAGAAAAATTTGAACTACTTACCTGCTTAGACAGGTATTTTCGCTTTTAATGTTAAGAAGTTACATGTTGTATAAATTTACAGAACAACAATTTTTGGATCGCACAAAGTATTATGCTATGTGGGGATCGAACCCACAACCCTCAAGCTGAGGAAGCTGCGAGGTGGCCGCTTAAACCACTATGCAGTCACTTTAATATTTATATATTTAGTGAATGAGTCATCGCTAGACTGCGTAAATATATTAGATGCAAGTAATTTGCTAGTAATGAGGCGCTATTCTGTATACTATTTGTTTAATTAAGTGATTGTAAAACATCATTAGATCTCTTAAGCTAATTGTAATTAATATAAACTAGCTTTTACATTCAGAATTTTTAAATGTACATTAATAACTAATGTGCAATGCACACTAGTTAGGGGTGTCTCAGTAAGAGTGCACTTTTTCATTTTAAAATAATAACACGTATTTTATGGAAGAGTAGTGATATTTTTATTGAATTTTAAATAAGACATGTTCCGTTTAGTATGTAATAAAATATCCGGCAAATGGCTCCCACGGCTCTGATGACAGGCCATACTCTTTTCATGAAATTTTCTATGACTTTTACAAATTTTTTCAAAGACACCATTCAAGACGTAGACGGTCTAAATTCGACTGCCATGCGATTCATTAATTTTTTGAAACTATTGTTTCAGAAATTTTTCAGTATATTTATTTTTAGTAAAAAAGAATTTGTCAGTATATTTACTGCCACAATTTGTTGTATGCATACTGTGTCAGTCTGTCAATGTTTTGTGTTATGTCAAACAAAATATTAGTGCAAGAAAAGTGGATGGATATAATGGATGGATGGTTTAAAACAAGTTTTGCAACAGTAGTTTTGATGTGGTAGGCAGACAGACCTTTAATTTAAGAATTTGTGTAAAAGATTGTACCGTTATATGTGAGAAAAATCGATGCATCATTTTATCAACATCATCATTGAGTATAATGCTAGAATATATTTAATTACTATAATATATTTAATTACTATAATATATATATATATATATATACATATTGTATATACATAGTCAGGCCCTTCCTAGTGCCGTAACCAGACTGTACATAGACATACTTATAAAAATTAAATGGTGTTTCAGAAATAAAATTTGTAACGAAATATTTTACTAGGACGTTTCAGGATATTTAAACTAAACAAATCTACTAAAACGTGACCTTCTGTTGGGATAGAAAACTATAAAAAGGGCATTCACCCAGAGGAGGTTGGTGTCATTAAGTACAATCTCTCTCCAAACTGCTTTTTTGGTTAAAACTGCTAACTAAAAATGACTCGCCTGAGGCATTCCTTAGGAAGTTAATTATGGGCTTATTATGGTTGGGGATGCCGGTTTTGTAAAATATGAAAAATGATTATTCATACACTACCGCTACTTCACGTGAAACCTAATAATTATAGGATTGGTGCAATGTCTCTGAACCTTGTAAATATTTATGTAAATTCAAATGGACACGACCATGATATTTATTATTTTTGAGTGTCAACAAAAAAGTCAATGCAATATCATGAGAACTGGCTTTGAATAGATCAAAATAATGATAAAAAGACAAGTTCGTTGGGGTTTATTACAAAACAATTTAACAAGCTTTTCATCTGTCGCCATCATCATCACCATTTTTGTCGTTTTCTGGGTATTTTTTAGTATAAATGTAATAATTAATGAATCTAAACTACAATCCTATTGTATACTACCAACCCCGTCGTAGAATGATGTAATTTACCGATAATCTTGCAAGTGTAAGTATCTTGCCGTGAGAGGTCAACACATTCTGAATATCCCTCCGATAGCCCGGAATGTATTTTATGAATCGGTTCCTTCTGACAGAGCAGTCATAAAGCAGCGGTTGTCTATACTACACTCTACATATTTTAAATACCTATTTTTGTCATCAAATAAATATTTAATAACTACCGTTTTTGTACATAAATATGCAAAATATTATTGTTGTCAAAATAATATTCTTTGTAACTAATTTTACTTTGAAGTTTTCTAGAATAATCTTATGACAAACTAACTATTACTACAGGAACACGTTGTTCAATCAATGTTTAAAGTGCATGCTAATTAATGTTAGGTACCTATTACTTATTATTAAGTTTAACGTAAGTTATCGTAGAATTCGCTCATACTGAGACTATGAAGTAAAGTTAGGACGGTTATATTTTTCAAGTGTATATAGGCATGTATGTGTGTATGTATGTATATTATATTGGCACGCTCTCATTGGCAAGCCTAAACGACTTGATGGATTTTAGGCACAGAAATCGTAATAATATGATTTCTATGGTTTTGGCGTTTGAAGTGTCGTCACATTAGACTTATTTGTGTGAGTGACACTGGGTATGTAAATTTAAAAAAATAAATGGCGGATTTTTAGAATTATGTTTTCAAAAATTATTATCTTCAAAATGTATTGAGCGGGTACCCAAAATATAAAGGGTTTCATAAATATCTTACAAAATATACACATAAAATTTCGAACGAGAATTAGATTTTGTAAATTATACGATTTACATAATGTCGTTTTTTTTTCCAATAATTAACTCGTTTAACTCGTTTAATTAGTTACTCTTAATGTTTTTTCTCTTTAAGTAACTTGTTCAATAATAAATATAAACATACTTAAATATTTCTAAATACATACATATTATAGATGAAGTACACCCAGACACAGAACAAATTACCGTGCTCGCCACCCAATTATTTGCTCTGGGTGGAAATCGAACCCACTTAGCTTAGCAGTCGGGGTCACTAACCACTAGACCAACAGGTCAGTCAAATAATTAATTTAATAAAATTACGATTAAAATTTAATGATCATGTTATCAATTCGACTTATATGAAAATAATCAAATGTCTAGAAAACTTAATTCTACTTATCTTCATTAAAAAATAGGTACCCCGTTACAAGTGTCTATAGATATAATGTAATGCAAACACGTCAAAACAACGTGATAATAAATTAAAAACCTTTTAAAATATCTTTATAAATATATCACACTACTTTAACAGAATTATTTTCAAAATCAATCACAATCTTTTTGTTCTTAATTTGTAAGAGATCATAAGTACCTAGATTTATTGTTAAGAATAAAAGTGTATTATTTGGATTCAAACACCTGTGAAATTTTAAGACCATTGCTTAATTTAAATTGATTTTAATAAGTAGATACTGCTAGACATATTCTTTTTGCTTGTTTCTAGAACAAAGCTAATTAATGATTTATGTCGTTTAATTGCAATACTGCACGTGAGTAGATACTGCGAAAACCAATTTAATAAATTTATTAAAAGGTCTTTTTGTAAAACCATAAATTCTTATATGAACCAAAGTCTTGCAAAAGTTAAACACCACTTCAGCAACTTACACTAAAATATATTTTTTGTATCAACTGACTGCTCTAAAACTATGACATATAACTATGCTAAAGCTAATTAGTTACCTCTAATAAAATAAAATAATCTTACTTGCAATTGATCCTTTACGTCGGGATATGACGCCAAAACAGACACGATCGATGTCAAAATTATTCCAGTCTGGTGGCGAGCGACTGCAACAGTTGCTCTCGGTGCCGCGCTGCGACGCGTATTGACAAACAGACCGACATGTTAAAGAGTATATATTCACCAAACACAACGCTGACCGAACTCTGACGTACAACTGCTTCAAATTCTTGTATCGTTAAATGTATAGTTATTAGCGATTAAAGGAAACACTCGCATGTTAATGTAAAACTTTAATCGCTAATGTAAAACTTAGAGGAAAACCCTCAAGCAAACCGGTTTATGGGGAATGTACAGAGTCATGAGATATGTCTTGTTTAAAATAGTTATTATTTGTACAAAAATCTACATAATTACTTCGGTTCATATACCCCAAGAATTTATGGTTTTACAAAAATACCTGTTAATAATTAATTGAATAAGTATTTAAAGTAGTACTCATGTGCAGTTTCGCAGTTAGATGAATTCAGAAGTCGACGTAATGCAGACAGTAAAATATAACAGGTTATTGTGTAAAATGCGTTCAATTTTATATCTTCGAAGAAATTAAAAGCCCTATGTTATTAAGAAATTCTGTTTTAGACAACCATTTAAATTTCAAAACGATCAATTATATAAATTCCTTATAATATCAGTGACCATTTTTGAAAATTTATCGGCGCTAGTTAGATATGTATGTGTTTAGTTTGGTAACCAATTTTGTAATTTTTTTAACAACTTTCCTTTTATGGAGATATTAAAGGTTATCATCGTTTTTGGGTTCCGTCCCTCAAAAGGTACAAAAGGAACCCTTATAAGATCACTTTCTTGTCTGTCTCTCTGTCTGTCTGTCCGTCTGTCCGTGTCACCACCGATTTTCTCAGGAACGGGTAGACCTAGCAAGTTCAAATTTATACCATATACTAAGGTCTATAGTCCCTATCAGGTGTATAAAAATCAAGGTTCTAAGTCATCACGACAAAAAGATATGGACAAATTTCGATTTTCGCGAAAACTTGTGAGTACCAAATTTACCTTAATTTTCAACTTTTTTTTTTCAGAATTTCTCTTTCCTTTGCTGTAAGACCTTGCTTTTAACCAAAATTGTCAATTTTAGGTCACTAGGAAGTACCCTATAGGTTTTGGGTCGAAAGCCTATATGGTACTTCCTAGTAGGGTAGTTCCCGTTGACCTAGAATCACGAAATTTGGCAAAAAGAAACTTCTTATAGCACAAATAAAGGAATAATTGCAAAAAATAAAAAAAGTTGAAAATTAAGATAAATTTTGGTACTTACAAATTTTCGCGAAAATCTACGTAAAATATGGGTAGGTCACGGAACACGGCGCACGAGTTCGACTCGTACCTGACCTGTTTTTTTTGGTTGTGAAAGCCCGGCAGCTAATAAAAACTATTGGGTATGATTTATATTAGACTTGAATTGGTCAAAATGTGACAGTGTTCGCTTGCCTCACAAAGAGCAATTTTATTGATGTTAAGGAATTAAATGCGAAATGATTTCGCAATAAGGACAACAACTTAGTGGCCCGAACTGATACTCAAAGTCTACATAAACATAAGTTTATTTCGAAATTAGCATCATATTACAAAATATTAGCCGCGCCGCGCTTGGCCAGGCCCTATCTCGGGGAAAGAAGCCTTCCCCGTCTATCGGCCAATCCTTATGATAATGTTGCGGCCCGATCGCATTTTTGCGACCAATCCTATCGCCTATCGCAGCAGTTAATCTCCCACCAGAGGTCCCCACTCTCTGGTAGCCTGCGGCCCCGTCGACGGCTGATAGCGCCGTCGACGTCCTCTACGCTCGGGATCGGCCCTCTCCCGATCCCGTTCAGCGGTCTCTTTCTGAAGCCTTACAGCTTCACAAAAAGAGACAACTACGCCCCATCCCTCCTCACCCGCCAGCATGGCAGTAATGATTGCTGGCGGGGACAGGTCTCGTCCGATTTGGTCGAAAAGGACCTCGCGTTCAGACGCCCATGTGGGGCAGTCTTCCAGCGTATGCTGGACGGAGTCCCAGTCGGCTCCGCAGTGCTGGCATTGTGCCGTCTCAGGTACTCACCGAAGCAACCATGCCCAGTGATTACCTGCGTCAGTCGGTAGGTGACGCGACCTCCCTCCCTACCTACCCAAGCTATGGGGCTAGGCAGAACGGCACCGTTGGCGCGCATTCTGCGGCTGTTCCAGCCGCGCGCGCCACTGCACCAGTGCCTGTCGGTGAACGTCGGAGAGGCGGCGAACTTCCTCCCACGGACCCCCCAGAATAGGCAATAGCCTCAGTAGGGAGCCCGCCACCCCGCGAACTCAGGGGATCATCCGCTCGAAATGCTCCTCGAAGCTCCAGCGGCTGTCAAGGGTGAGGCCGAGGTATTTGATGTAACGCTCGACCTCGACCTCTGTTCCCCCACTTTAATAAGCGTGCTGGTGGGAACTGCACCTCCGCATTTCCTGTGAAACCACAGGGCTTCCGTCTTATGAGGTGAAACCCTTAGACCCAGTCCGCTGATCCGTTGGACCACACAAGCCACCCCTAACTCGGCGAGCTCAAGAACTTACTGGAAGCCATGCCCCCTGGCATGGGGGAAGGCTAGTCCTCAGGACGACGTCATACACCTGGGGAACACCGCATGTGACCTCCTTTCGACAGTCTTCGCCGTCCCGACCCATATACGATATGGACCTGTCGCGGAGATAAGCCCCGATGATGTCCCGCAGGTAGGGAAGCAACTGGTGACACACAAGTGCCTCCCTAATCGCTCACCACGGGAGAGAGTTAAAGGCGTTGACAATAAGTTGTAAGTAAGTAAGTTGATAAGCAACCCTACTCAAGCATTCCACCTTTTAGGGATTGTTTTTAGGAATGGTTACACTTCGTATTCTTAAACCTGGCACTTCTGGTCTTATTAAGAACAATTTTTTTTATATTCTAAACTAAAGTTTAATAAATTGAATAGCAACGTTATTTTGGAAGAGTTAAAGTTACCAGTTAAAGTACCAAGGATTCTGGAAATGTAGCTTAGAGGCTTTTGTTAATCAATCCTTATTATAACAACAGATGTGCTTCATTTAAAAATAAAGTCTTGCGGATCCGAATTTTACGGCAGTTTTGTAGTATGTGTTAAAACCTAAATAATAATTTAATGATATAAGTACTTTAAGGTTCCCTTTCTGCAGGCAATTCTCGTAATAAAAGTTCGGTCATAATTCAGTTCCGATCAACTCTCGCTATCATATTGTCATAAAAGGTATTTTGGTAGGGGACGATTTTTTTTCTCGTAGGTCTCTATAGGTTTTTCAAAATTATTGAAGGAATATATAACCATATGAAATTAGGGAAAAATAAAATCATAACATGTGAAGTTGGATTTTATAGCTCCTTCTTCAGTTAATATCTACAACTCTCTCACAAATTGTAAACAAAGGGAAGTTTCTCTCACTATTGTCTTATAAATTCCAGTAAATATTGCTTAAGTTAAAACTTTATTCCTAATATATATATAGCCTAAATATCTAAGACTTCTTCTCTACTAGTCGCTTTATACGACTGCCAAGGAAGGGTTATGCTTTTCGCTCGTATCTTGTGTTTGTTTGTAAATTTCTTCATCTTCTTACCTCATATCTTCTAAATGTTTGGACGGATGTCGACAGTTAAGGTATTGTTTTATCTGCCTCAAAAACCCAAGTGTTCTTAGATAGCTTTTTAAAGGAATAAAACAAACTGGCGGCATTATATAGTAATAGATTTATTTAAAAAAAAAACAAACCTATCGAGAATGGTATCAATATCAAGAAAATTAAAAAAGGATTACAAAAATATTAATTATAGCGGTTAAGGCATTGGACTTGCGATCAACAGGTCGTGGGTTCGAATCCTGACCAGTACACTAGCGACGTGAACGCACTCCTAATACAAGCAATTTAGCTTAGCTGGAGGGGTACTATTGTTATTACTACTTATTATTATTAGGAATATTAGTAATTTCGGTTGCTAGTAAGACTTAAAAAATAAAATAATAATATGTAAGTTATATTTTTAATAAGAAATAATAAATTGGTTGCATAAAGTTCTTGCTAACGTAAAGCGTTGCCATTTTGGTGTCAGGAACTCTTGCTGTTCCGGCCTTTTTAGTGCATTACTTTTAAATAGTCCTTTTGCAGTCGGTTTTAGATTTTTTAAATTATTACTAGTTTCAATTTGCTGCTGGTGAGATATAATTTTATAATATATTTTACATTCATTCCTTAAACACTGCTCTTAGTAATCAGCAGTCCTATTTGAAAAATAAACTATTTTATCTGTTGATTGAGAAAGCCAAGAACATTGTGATGCTATGTACAGAAGCGGAGCAGTGATAATATGATGAATATGGCCTTTCTGTAAGCTACTAACGAGGTCACAGGTGGTGGATAGTGAAAGGCCACTAGATAGAGTGGTCAGATGCGAATGGAATAAGCAGTCCCCAACGATTCAGCGAGGGAGAAAGCTCCCAAGCATTGGCTTGCATCCGTGTAGGAGAAGGCAAACTCCAAAACTAAACCCAGATTTGTTCCACCTACCATAGAGGAATTGGTCAGGGCGGTCAAGCAGCTTAAACGTGGTCGAAGTCCGGGAGGCAATGGAGTCTATGCTAATTGTGAAGCTCGAGTGCATCGCGCCCATTCTGCCCAGACTGCTGTGGAAATGCTGGAAGGAAGGGTACATTCCACAGAATATGCTCAACGCAAACATTATGACATTATATAAAAGTAAGGGTGAATGCAATAATTACCGTGGAATAGCTCTTTTAAGCATTGTTGGAAAACTGTTTGGCCGAGTAGTTCTCGAATTTAAAAATTGGCTTATCGCGTCTATCCTGAATCTCAGTGCGGCTTTCGTGCCCAGCGCTCCACACTAGACATGATTTTTAGAATCCGTCAGCTGCAAGAGAAGTGTCGATCTCAACAAGGCTTTTTATGCCGTTAGCAGGGAAGGGCTCTGCACAATACTCGAGCGCATTGGTTGTCCTCCATTCTTACTGAGCCTCGTAAAATGTTTTTACGAAGACATGAAGGTAGTGTTTGGATTTGGCGGCTGTACATGAGAAGCGTTTGACGTGCGCAGGGGTGTCCGACAGGGCTGCGTACTGGCACCTACCCTCTTTGGTATAGTTTTCGCACTGCTTCTAAAAATCCTGCATACGCGGGCCGATGGGAAGCTTTTCAACATAATTTCGCTCCTCAAGGCCGAACGCTTTCGCAAGGACTTATATGCAGACTGTCTTCTTTTTGCCGATGACGCGGCCTTGGTGGCGACTTCTGCTCGTGATCTCCAAGCCATCTTGAACAAATTCTCCCGCGCTTATTCCTTGTTCCCCATGAGCATAAACGCTAAAAAGACAGTTGTATTGTGTCAGGGTTGCACAGAGATACCTTCCATCTCGCTCAACATCTGTTCTGTGCATCCTTCAATCGGTTATCTGGGGTCCACCTTGTTGAGCAATCTGTCGCTCGATGCGGAGATCGACATTAGTATCGGCAGAGTGGCTGCTACGTTTTGGCGGTTAAGTGCAACAGTGTGGCAAAATAAATACTTACCAACAAAAACAACAAAAGCTGATAATTTTCCAGGCATGCATATTATCCATAATCTTGTACGGCGCTAAGACTTGGACCATATACGCAAAACAAGAACGTCGGTTTAATTCGCTCTATTTGCGTTGTCTCCGGAACATCTTGGAGATCTCATCACCAACGAGAGGATTTTAGAAATTACACAGCTACCCAGCCTCTAAGCGCTGTTAAAGCAGAAACGCTTGCGATGGTTGGGACATTTGCACCGTATGGGCTCCTCGTGACTACATCGACGTGTCTTGCTTGGTGCTTTACCACACAAGGAAAGGGATATTGGCAGACCCATAGTGCGGTTTAAGGACTGCGTCAAGAGGGATATAATCTCATTTGAGATTGAGATCCGCTCCGCTGCCATCAAGCAAGCCATATGACTTGGGAGAGGATCGCTCGAGATCGCGATGAATGGAGGAGGCGTGTGATCGATTTGAGCGCAGTTCACGAAAACATCTGGTTCCAGAAGTTGGCAGAAAGTAGAGTGAAGCGTCAAAGAGCTAACAATGACCCACAAACCGTTACAGTGGGAGAGCCATGCTTTGCACAAATGGGCCGTCTCGACCGGAGTGATAGCACGGCCTCACAGGAAACCGGTGTTAAGCAATTCTTTCGTTGCCTTTCACTGAGTGAGTGAGGTTACCGGAGCCCAAATCCCAAATCGCTGACTCAAGCGAGAGGGACTCCAATGGCAGCAACGCACTTGTGACTTTTGAGTTGCAGGTGTCCATGGGAGGCGGTAGTTGCTTACCATCAGGTGACCCGTCTGCTCGTTTGCCCCCTTATACCATTAAAAAAAATCGCCCAAGATAAGTACCGGACGAGACAGGAAAGTGCAAATGCAACTTCCAAGTACGCTTCGAATACGAGAAAGCTGCAATTCCTAGATATGTAGCAGCCCACTATGACCATGGGGCCCCACTCTACTGCCACAAACACCAGCCCTCTCTGAAGAACGGTGCAGTGACGGCCGTTCTCCCCCTCTACCTAGTATATGGCGGCGGTGCCGTCATCCGAACCAAACCAGGGGTGATCCGGGACGTAGTACGTCTCCGCCACCACCGCTAGGGCAACCGACTGCTTAGCCAGCGTCTGCAGCGTCTGGTCTTGCGCTGCGCGGCAGTGGTTTTGGGTGGCCCTATAAAACTTTCCTGAGAGGCGCAAAATTTAGGCTTCCATTGTCTCCTCTGCCGGACGGGTATCCAGCTGCAATTTGAAATTGCCCAATAAATATCCTTACAAACCAATATGAATAATTGAATTTTTAAGTTTCCGCTGTCATCAAGGAATCCTAAAAAGTCTACACAGTACTTGGTCTGACAAGCACTTGGCCTATATTTTTCTGCTTTCTTCTTGCTTCTGGTTTGGAGCTTTTACAAAATATACCTAGTTTTCTTCTAAGGTTAAATACAAACTTGAAAATTTCAATATTTTTGATTATAACAGGTTTTATTTTTTCTATTCGAAAAATTCCGACATGAATATACATATATCTATGTTGTACGTACATACACAATATGTCTTTATATTATATATAGTTATATTATCAAAGTATTTCAACCCAAATTCAACTCTCGTGTAAACGGGGCCAATATGTGTAAATAATATAAGTTTAACAGTAACAGTAACAGTGTCGCGAGTTCAATAGTTTTTCTCCATCACAAAAAATACATTCTTTTGTTTGTTGTTCAAAAATGCCCAACGCACCTAAAGAACTTTTCACTTCAAAAAACTAGGCTGTCAGATAAATAGTAAAAAAAAAAATAATAGTTTAAAAAAACTAAAATTAAAAACACGCTTTTATAGAAAATCCAACTAAAAAACAGAAAATAAAGTTTAATAAATTTGGATTAAGAATAGTGTAAATTTGATTAAGTTTGATTAAGTACAGTGTAAAAAAAAAATGAATGTACATTACAGTAAAAGAGCGTGGGGTGCATCTGAAGTGCTTTTTATGATATTATCAAAGTGATGATTTTTCTACTCATCTGACAATAAATGTTTATAACTATTGACACTATGCACCCCACGCTTTTTTTTACAATAATGTACATTCATTTTTTTTTACACTGTACTTAATCAAACTTAATCAAATTTACGCTATTCTTAATCCAAATTTATTAAACTTTATTTTCTGTTTTTTAGTTGGATTTTCTATAAAAGCGTGTTTTTAATTTTAGTTTTTTTAAACTATTATTTATTTTTCATTTTTTAGTAAAAAAAATTGTGTTTTGGTTTGTTGTTGTTTTTTCTGGCGACCGAAAGAGCAAGTCTGGAACTGCACGCATGCGTAGTTCGCGCACTAGCTCTGTCTCTCTTACTCGCATGCAAAGGATGCGGAAAGAAATTAATTAATCCTGGCGAATCTAATTAGGATAATCGGATATTTTGATCGGATTATTGCATTGTCATCGACCTTTGACAGGTGTGCAAAGTTTGAATCATATCTGATCGTTCAAAGTAGGGCAAAATCGAGCTCAAAGGAGTCGGTTACATACAAACAAACAAACAAACATACAGGTGAAGCTAATAAAAGCGTGTTAAAATAAAATGCGATAAAATAAAATATTTTTACAAGTAGTCATTTCCACTGTCTTTGTTTGCTTGAGAGGTATTGATAGATATTTATTTATTGATATGATAGCGTTGGACAACTTTAAAATCTCTATTACCTAAGTTATCATATATATATATCATTATATCAGAGTTAAAATATTTATATATTTTAACTCTGATGACATTTTGGAAGTTGTCATAAAATATAGGTTACCCTCTTCACACCTCTACTATCAGACGTGAGATTACAAAAGGACGAAACATACTATAAGATACCTCTTTAACACGTCTTCAATTCTTCAGTCCAGAGTCTAAACAGGAAGTTTAAAATTAGTGTTCTCATTCGTGTAAAAAATCCATAATTTTCCTCATTGTTTTCGTTTGAAAAATACGTACCTATGTATTTTAGAACTAGGTCTATTTTAATATGACGCAGTACGACGCAATAAAGCTAAAGGTGCTTTTTTAGTCTTTAGGGAAAACCAGTTGTTAGTCTGAGCAACATATTTATACGGTTATGTAGACGAAGTCAATCTACCGAAGTATAGCCACAATACTGTTATATAAATTTATATATATATTATTATACTATACAGTTCAGCAGTTCGGTAATTTTTGTATTAAATTTATCTTTGTATTAAATTACACTAACATTTTTTTGAAAAAATGAATAAAAATATTGATGGTAAAAAATTCTAAAGGTCCTATTTGGTTATTATTTTCTAGGACATTTAGAACATTCCTCACTACAGTGCGCCGAGTTGGGGTATTACAATACAACCATATTTAAGTTCAAATAAGGTATATTAGATTTGTCTTAGTAAGCTAGATTATTGCTTTATGTAGGGTAAGATTTATATGCCACCAATAGATTTTTTGTTTTTTTTTGGGTCATTGTTTGTGCATCAATGACCCTAATGTTTGTGTCTAATACTCTCCTAGTAACTATGCCAGCTGGCTGATAAAAGTCCTAGAGATATCTCGGTCCGCCCAGCTAAGCAACTGTTGATCCGTAGCGTAATACCCATGAGAGAGTATATCGGCCGGCTCAGCTACCGCCGTAGTACCGAGGGAGAAGAAATTAATTAAATTGCTTTCGTGCGGAAGAAGTGTTTTATTTTATACTTCAGCTTTTATTTATCCAAATAGTACAATGGTTCCATCCCACCAATAGTTCCGTCAAGGCGCTAATATGATTCGACCAATCACGAAGCTAATGTTTTCGACGCGCCAAAAGTCTTCAGACAATCATTAGCTCGTGCAAGGGATATGCGTCCCATGATTTCCCGCGCAAACTCGCTCATTCAGCGTGGCGTGCGGATGCGCACGCGTAGCCAGATGTGAGAAGGCAAACCGTATGACAACGAACACGTGTGACAGCATTGTTGAATAGAAGATTCTTGATTGGTGTCGTCTATTGTTTGTTAACCGGTAGTCTAATTTGACATTTCTTTCCAAACAATAAGTCTTTCGGTATACACATCTTCGCACAGTATTGTTAGTAAATTGTTTGCGTGTTTAAGTTTCATGGGTCGCGATGGCGTGGACGCTACATCACTCCCCCTTAAGCGAAGCGTATATTGGGTTTTACGTGTCTCCCGGCTCGAGTGACGTAGGCGTCGCGCTTTATGGCAGGAACGGTTACATTGCTTGATGTCGTCGGGATTGCACTCGTAGTATTTAACTTTGTATTATTTGATATACATTGATCGTCGCTAAATAGATGGGCTGGTTTCAACCGGTCTATTGATATTACTGCGGTTCGTAATGGTGGTTGAATAGTGTATTCTTTACCTTACGTATATGATATTCTTCATTAGTGCGTAGAACAGTGATGACTCGAATTGTCTGCCTTGGTCAGTAGTGATTCGCAGAGGACAACCGAATCGAGTTATCCATCCTTCGTATACGGTTTTAGCTATTGTTTCGGCGGTGATGTCATGAGTAGGTATTGCTTCGGGCCATTTAGTGCAGAGATCTATCATCGTAACTAGGTACTTATAATCGTTTGATGGTGTTAGAGGTTCAACTATGTCGATGTGTACATGTTCAAAACGCGACGCTTGTTGAAACTCCCCGAGTGGACTGATAACGTGCCTTTGAATCTTCGCACGTTGACAACCTATGCATGACCTTGACCACGTATTTACCTCTTTATTC